AAGATGAAATATTTCCACAACATTGCAAACAAGAAAGATAATGTCACAAAGCTGAACCAAGTGACATGTTTCTATACTTTTAAAAAATTTAGTCTCAAATCCAAAGCTTATTTATAGAATTAGACTCTATATATGTAATGCTTTTTCTCACGTTTTGAACTATTACATATTTTTAAAAATTTATCCGCCAGAAGCAAGTCAGGTGGCATTATTTGATCAATTTAAAATGATGCCCTTGGATTTTCTGGAAACTTTGGAATTTTGGTGAAGATGTTTAACGTTGTCATTATTTTTCTGGATCTCGTACGAATGTGCAACATAAAATAATCTTGTCATAGAAATTATATTACCTGATATAAAGCAGTTTACAAAGTCTCTTATGCCGTGGCCTATTGTTTCCGAGAGACCTCTGACAAATTATTTATATTAAAGAAATTATATTAAAGTGAAATTTAAATCTGGGACTTACACTGTTTAGATCCTAAATGGTTTTTATTTACACTTACTGCTTTTTTTGTTCTTTTCCTTTCCAACACACACAGGGAAATATGTACTTATTTGATGTACATATGTATTATTTAACTACAGTCTTCCACGCATCCATTCTCCCACAGCACTTATTACCCACCTACATTGCGTCTTTTTCTTTCAAATTACATTTCACCACTATTAGTTGAAAGTGAGCAGTTGAGTCTACTAGAGTGTTTTTGACTTTAACAGAATACCATTTAAATTTCTTTGTTGCATCTTCATTTTGCTAATGAATTTTGCAGGGTTTTTCATTCATCTTTGAATTGTAAACCTTATTGAGCTGTAGAATAAAAAAAAATATGCCTCATATATAATTTGATCAGTTTTTTCCAATTTCCATATTATGGCTTTATAGATGAACAAAAAATAAAAAACAGAAAACATAGTTTCTTATTTAAAAAATAAATACATTGAACTTTCAATGTGACTTCAATTTGAGTATGAATAATTAATTTTGAGAGTAGAGCAGAAAATTGGAAACTAGGTCATTTACTCTTTAGCGGGTAAAGATCTATTGTATACCCTCATTGTTGTTACCCTCATATATTGTGAGGTTTATAACATACTTAAATTTGTATAAAATATTCTCTCATGAGTCTAATAGAGATTATATAGATTGTAGTTTTAGGTTATTT